TGGGTGCATGCGGACAGGGAGTGAGGAGGGGGCTTGTTTTTCCCTTCACACTGTGTCTGTGGGCTTTTGCTATCCTGAGGAACCAGGTGTTTGATTTGTAAGTGAGCAACCGAGATGACTCCTCCAAACCTCAGGCCCCTGTTCCGATGTGGGCTGCCTTGTGCAGGTGCTCCCAAGGATGCTCGCTCTCACCTGGGCTGCTGGTGCTTGATTTCTGAGTCTTCAGGTGCAGGTTTGTGCTCTCAATAACCAGACAGGCAGAAGCCGTAAAGCGATTGTGCCAACTTTTATTTTATTTTATTATCTTTTTTGGAAATGGGATTTGGAGAAGGGAAAGGAAGGAGATGTGCAAGGAGGAAATGATTGTTGCAAAAGGGGATGCTTTGGATGCACACTGGCAAAGGTGTTCCTGTCTGACTGGAAATGACCGAAGCAGTAGAGCATGACAGGCAGGACACTGCCTTGGTGGATGTGCTTGCTTTATGGGGTTTTTGGTTTTAAGGTCTACTTTGTAGGTTATTTCATGTACAAAACCAAAAAGCATATTTTAATGTCTATATATGTATTTGTATATATATAAGATTATATATACACATACATATTTTATATCCTTACAACTCCCAGTTCCTAAAAGCTTCAAGTCTGAAGGGCCACGTGTATATGTGCATTATAAAGAGAGATGCCAATTGACTGAGACAAGGCTTTCCTTACTGGCTGTGTGATAAGTAAGTGTGCAAGATGTCTTTAACTGAGATCTTGCACGTGCGCAGGGAGAAGGGGTCAGCCAAACACCAAATGGCAGTCCCCGTGTTGCCCTGTCCCTGGCTGTTCCCTGTCCTGGGGATTTGGGGAGCTCACCCCTGTGAGGCTCGGAGGGACAGACTGAAACACACTTGGTTCTGCTGCCCGTGGGTCAGGCACCCTGCAGGTTGGGGCTCCTATTTCCCCATGGGGCTTCCAGTAGACTGTTTTGGTTTCTTTACCACAAAGGAGGAGGTTTGGTGGGCAAGAGGGGAAGGGGTTTGGGAGGGGAAAGACAGTCAAAATTCACCATACGATAGTTAGACAAATCTTCATAGAGGTCCGTCTGCCTGCTCGCCGCTCTCTCTTGCTCTCTCGCATTCACTCTCATTCTCTGCAGGACATACGCTGTTGTAGGGCTAAAGGTCTCCTTTTGTCAGGCTAAGGTCAAGTCCCTGGTTGGCAGAGGACAGCCCTTCATACTGGCCTGTCCACGGCGTATTGGCAAGGGCTCAGATTGGAAGCTGCCGTCTGCACCGCCGGGTAGGTGAAGTTAGTGTGCTGCTTGGCCTTCAGCCGTAGGCTGGCCAGGCTGGAGTTGCATGTGTCCCTGTACATGTAGGGGCTGGCTGTTGAGGCGTAAGGACAGGCACTGGATGAGACAGCGGAGTTGAGGCTCGGGCTGTTCAGGTTGTTGATGTTTCCCAAGTTGTTGAGGCTGGAGGCTGGTACTCCTGTCACCGCAGAAGGGACCATGGATGAAGGCATGGTCATCGAGGCGATGGAGCTGGGTGGGGAGAACATGGGCTGTGAGGAGAGGGGACTGACATTCATGGAGTTGAAGAATGGGAAGCTCTTGGCTGAGAGCGGGCTGGTGGCGAGCCCCTTGGTGGCCCAGTTGTTGTAGGAATAGCTGGAATACATGTCATCGTAAGGCTGCATCAGTCCGTTGAACTGGGCTCCGAAGCTGTTCTTGCACAGTTCGGCCTGTTGGTTTCTCTCCCGTTTCCTCCACTTAGCTCTGCGGTTTTTGAACCACACCTGAGAGAGAGAGAGGGAGAGGGAGGGGATGGGAATCACTCTGGGCTGTCCCTGGAAGGGCCCTTGCCTCGGTCTCTTTGCCCAGCAAGGCAAGAGCTGTTGAAGGGCCAGGGATGCTCCCAGGGAGCTGGGAGGCTGAGCATCAGGAAAGTGTTGCAGTAAGATGTCTGGGCTGCAGGTTCACCTCTCAGGGAGAATCACCACCGAGATCAAAACCTAACCACAGCCAATTTACAACACACAGAATAACCCACCTCACTCAACAAATGGATGCCCTTTATATGGGGAAAAGGGAGGAAAATACTTGCTGTGTTTCCAAGTGACCTCAGCCCAGGAGGATGGGCTGGGGTTGTGTGACTTGGGAGCAAAGTATTTGGGGGATGTGGCTTGAGAGCTGCTGAGTGGGGGGCAATAACCTCCATTGTACTGACTTCACCTCAGGACCAGCTTGGGGCAGGGTGTTAGAAGTCCGTTTTCTCTCAGGAAAATCTGTTAGTGCTGGAGGGGCTCAAACAATGTAACTTCCTAGACCATGGAAGCTGCTGGAAGGCTATTCATGGTGCTGCTAACTCGTATTTCTAGCAGTGGAGAGAAGCTCTCATTCCAGCTGGAGCCCTGCCACACTATGCCTGTGACTGGCACAGTAGTTTGGGAACCCCAGAGAGTGCCCTCCAGCAAGGCTAAGGCTGGCGGATGATGGCACTGCAAGGAAGGGGTCTGCCAGGGGCTCTGTGGGGCAGGGCCTGCGCTTTGCATCTCCCTGTGTTACTGCAAGGTCGCACTGGATGGGGAAAGCACTACCAGCATGGGGTATGTGTGTGGCTGGATGTGTTAAATCTTGGCTATATAGCCTGGTGAGGTGTGTTCAAGACATGGAAATTTTCTAGTGCCCCCAATTCCTTCCTTGGTTTGGGGACAGGTTGGTGGCTTGTATCACAGTTGGCTTTCTCCCCACAGGCTTGGGCATGGGAATGTGGGAGGGCTGCAGTCCTACCCGGACTCGTGCCTCCGTCAGGTTGGTCCAGACTGCAATCTCCTCCCTGGTGCTCATGTCTGGGTAACGGTTTCTCTGGAAAGTGGCTTCCAGCTCCTGGAGCTGCTGGCTGGTGAAGTGTGTCCTCTGCCTCCGCTGCTTCTTCTTGAGCGAGCTGTCTTCAGGGTTGGAGTCGTCCGTCTGGTTTTGCTGAGACTTCTCGGTGTCTGTGCAAGAAACAGAAAGATGGGAGAGATCCCCTGAGTTAACCTGGGGGCTTGGATGCATTTGTGGAGCCCAGTCCTTAGACAACCAATGCATGCTCACTGAGATCCTCCTCCACTGCAGCTACCTGCAGGAGTGGTCCTATCTCCCTCCCTTGACCTTGCAAGCACCAAAACCAATGGCCCCTTGATGCAGCACAGCTTGCCCTCATTTAACTGCTGTGATGGATGTCAGCTTCCAGGTGACTGGAGCTTGATTTTCCAAACTTCCAATCTCTGGTTTTCATTTGTCACAGTTAAGATGGGTGATAGTGGCAGAACCTACCCAGGCCAGCAGTTTCCTATTCTGCTTAAAACTCTCTGCCTAAGGTGCCCTTTTGAAAAACTGAACAGAAATTGCCACTTATGATACAACAAAAGATCCGGTAGCATTTTTGTGGACAAGTGATGGGAAAAGGCAAATTGCCAACGACAGCAAGTTGAGGCTCTTAAATGAACTAAACCTGAGGAGCACAAATTTTTATCCTTCTTCCCTTCTTACTCTTCTATCTTCTTACTTAGGTGCATGTATTTTTAAAAAGTAGTAAAGGCCTCTCGTAGATCTTACCATGAAGTACTCCAGCATCTCCCTGTTTTACTCCTGCCCTCCTCCTCACTCGGAGATCCCTCTCCTAGAGGCAGAATCTTTCATTTCATTGCCCCTCAAATGAACATCTTGAAACTCTCCAATGTTCACACTGGTATCTAACTGAAAAGTACAGCTCAGCCTCCTCCTAGGCATTAAGCCCAGGCCTTAATGCTGAGCTTTGGGCTGCTGTGGCTGCAGGTGGGCAGCCAGGTACTTCCCTGTGCACAGACCCTCCTGGGGCCGCTGGTACTCTGCAAAGAGAGGCAGAATGCAAATATAAATATCTTTCATCATCAAAAGAAAATACGACATTTGAGCACTTGGGCAATCTATTGAGAACAACTACAGGGAGGAAAGCTACAGCTTGTGTTTAATTCTGCTGAGAACCAAGACAAGTCATCATAGAAGAAAATTATTCCAGTGAAAATAAATAATTTCTGATGTTCACCTCCTCCTTCCCCTGATCTAGAAGCAAGGTGAAGCAGTTCCAGCTGAAAATCAGGTTTTCAGCAGGGAGGGGAGGTGTCCTTTTACAGTGGGAAATACTCAGCTAAACTAAGTAGAAATTATTGCAAACAGTTGCCACATGGTTGCATCTGGGAGAAGAACACTTAAAAAATCCTGGCACCACTCTGCTGAGATTCAGATTAAAAGGATTTTTGTTTGGTTGTGGTTTTTTAAGTGGAAGCTAGCTTAAAAGGCTTCAAAGTCCAGAAAAATCCTAACATGGACGGGGTCTTGTACAGCCTCTTAAAAAGCAGGGAGGCAAGAAAACAGTAACCTGGAATACAGTTGGGTGAGGGAAAAAAAAAAGGTTCCTCAACTCAGATGGATGTGCTCTGGAAAAATATGCCCCTTAAAAGCTAAATGGCAAAAGAGAGAGCCTAAGAGAGAGGCTGAAAAGCATCTGAGCCCTGACAGAGAAAGGACTCTGCTGCAGGGCAGTGCTGTACCCAACAGTAGGTGCTTTAAAGGAGCCCGGCCCTGGGAGACCCTCCTGTCCCAGGAACCTGGTGCCACTTCCCAGCTCCTGTGGCAGTGCGTCAATTCGGAAACCTCTCCCTGCTGTTCCTGGGAAAACCCTCCTTGGCCCTGCCTTCCTCCAAAGGGAGCAATGCTGGAGTCGCAGAGAGCATTTGCAGGAGAGGCACCCGCTCTTCATGGAGGAAAGCCTGGGTGCGGTCAGAAAAGGTTTGGTTCTATAGGTACGCGTTGCATTGACTGAAGTAATGTGGGTTCCCCACAGGCTTCCCACCAGCTGCCTCAGCTTCTGTGGCACATTTAATGCTGTCCACCAGCAGGAAAGCTAATGTAAGGAGAGCGAGGTGCCTGTTGCTCAAAACAGCAGGATGCAAGCTGGTTCTGCTGAGCAGGAAGATGCTGTGTCACATTTCCAGCGTCAGGACCAGCTTATGCTTCCACCCAGGGCGTACGCGCATGAGAACTTTCCTATTGCACTCTTGAAACAGATGAAGCCATAGGACCTGAAAAGTGGAGCAGCAGGAGCTGGTTGTGGTCTTGTGATACTCTCCTCGTTCCCATGAGCATCTTCCTGTGGGGATCCCACATTCAGCAGAACTCTTGGAAGCATGCTCTTAATGTGGATTTTTTTTTATAGTGGTTCTTGCCAAGAAGATAAATCTGATTTCTCTAGCTCAGTGCTCTAAGCCAGTGTTGGAAGAGGGAGATTCCCACATTATCCATCTCTAAAACAGATTAAAAGGGGAGTGATGCCACCACGTCTTGAGCTAGTTATTAGGAAAGGCTCAGTACGGATGAAGGGGCAACATTTGGTTGGTTTGTTCATCTGCTGAGCCTGGGTTAATTAAGAGCCTGATGCATACAGGGGATATGTTCCCACAGGAGCCCCTGACAAATGTGGATTTCCAAAGGGGCTGCTGCCAAGCAGGAGGCTGTGCCCTAATTGGAAGCTCCTGCTCAGGATTGCCCTTCTTCGTGCAGGAAGAAACTACACTGAGAGAAAGTACCCCTGGCTTATTGGCTGCATCTGGGTGGAAGAGCTCACCAAGCATTTTGCTTTGGTATTCATCTTCTCCATACCTTCTGGTATAGAACTTTCCACAAATCTTGTGAAGTCCAAGCAATCCTGACTTTGAGCCTGGAAAAATCTCTGCAGCTACACATTGCTCTTATTGTCTTCTCCATTTCCATACCTGCTACCTGTGGTTCTTCCTGAGTGTTGCTTACAGGCAGCGCCATCTCTGTTTCTGCTTCTTTTCTAGACAGGGTACAAGTGCTCTTTGTAAATGGTGCAGAGCTTCAGTGCTGCAGTGGGGACCAAAAGCATGGCAATACAGGGAAACAAGGGACCCTGCAGATGCCCTGAATCCATGCTGAGGAGCAAAACACAGGCAGATGCATGGCAGTTCCTCACCTCCTCCCTCCCTATCCCATCTGTGCTGCCTGATGAAACCTAACAGAAGGAGGTGTCACAAACCACACCACATCATTGGAGGACACTTGGGATCTCTGAGAGCTGAGCCCAGACAAGCAAGGTTTATGCTCCCTTCCTCAGAATCTCTTACTCTGCGGATGAAGAGAGCAGAGCCAAGAAGGAGCAGGGAGGCTGCTCTCTTGAGGAGAGGCAAGAAGTGCCAGAAGAGCAGCCCTGCCCCACGCTGGGCAGCCCTCGGTGGTGCTCTCTGCTCTGCCTGGTACCGGTGACATGTGGCTGCCAGCGGCCCCTCTGGTGCGAATGCACAAGCTGCTAGCCTTTGCATGTAGGTAGCACTGGCAAAAACACCCACCTCCCAGAAACCATTTTATTTCTAGACTGTTTAAGACAGGGGGGAGTGATGTAGCCAGGCACCCAGCATTTATTGTCAACCCAAAATAGGTTGTGGAATATATCTCGTGCACGTTCACCCACTCAATGAAACGACTGCAGTCATAGCTGGAATTAGCTGCTCATGCCTAATGGAAAAAAAAGTCAGCTCTTAAATTGGCAGTTCTGTGGTGTGCCAGGGTGAGCTCCATCAGGAAGGCCGCTTGAATGGAGACGACCGCCATGCATCCAAAGCAGCTGACAAGGAGCCACTGAGCTTGGGGATGTGCCCAACTAAGGTACGCGTGCAGTGGGGAATGCGGTGGGTGGATTCTCTGACCATAGTTATCCCAGCATAACTCTCTTCACGATACTTACTCTGTGGAATTTTAATCTGCATCATTATGCTTATTAGCTTTTGCACGCGGGTGAGCCTGGAGGCTTTACACGAGGAGCAGCAGGCTGTCCCGGGCCCTCGCCTTCCCTCACGCTGGCACCGGCGGGGCAGCTTTGCATTTTCCTGCTGCATCCAGAGCAACAAAGGATGGAGAGGTCACAGGACAGATGCAAAGTCCAGGGGAAGCCATAGCATTTGGTAGCCGATTTCTGAGCAGGTGTGAATGGTGATGTTTCTTCTTCAGAGCCTGACAGAGCATGCGGTAGGCTTGGGGGTTGTTCAGCCTTTGGGAATGGTCCTTGGGACAGGAGTAGCCCACTGCAGAGCCTGGCACCAAGGCACAGGTGACCAGGCTTTTTCAATTAAAGTAGGGGCAAGATGGTATTTCTCTTCCTTATTGCGTGGAGCTGGGAAGTTCAGCCCAAGGTTAACCTGTAGCATGGAAAGCTTCAACCTAAGCAATTTAAACAGAGTTAAAAGGAAAAAAGGGGGGGCCATTTATAACTAGGTGTAGCCTTCTGTGCCTTGGATGAGATTTCCCATGTTGCACGGAGAACTCCCCTGCTCTGAGGACCTGGTTTAGGTGAATACAATAAAATCTTGGTTGGGCAGTGATCCAGCTTGCCTGACTTCTGCCTGCTGTGGGCTGTGCCCTCTGTGAGCAGCAGCTTCCTACAGCCCAGGGCAAGGCAACCCCATCGCCGGGATGGTACTCTCACCCTCCTGATGGCTGTCATTGCAATATGCATCCCTGTGCCTTCTCCTGCTTGCTGGGACAGCTGTGCTGCCATGGCACGGTGCTGACTCACGGTACAAGATGAAGCTCAGCGTGTCCCCGGGAGCACCACAGCTGGCTCCTGCAAACTACTGGCCACCTAGATCCACCCGCAAGGATGGATCAGGGCATCTCTTGCATTTTGAGCCTTGCACTCACCGCTGTGGTCCTGCCCTTTGCAGCTGTGCTCGTGTTGAGGGGTTCCCGAGTCTGAGAGAGACAAGGCTGGGCTGCGAGCCTCTGCGTCTGCCAGCAGGTTGAAATCCATGGGGCAGGAATGGGTGGCGGAGGAGGAGGAATCTGAAAAAGCAGCAGACACACAGTGATTAGGGAGATGAATCTCTAGGTGACCTCTCCCTACCCCCTCCAGGAGGGACTTGTCAACCCTTGAGGAAAGGTCTAGGAAAAGTAAAGGATCCCTGTGTGATCCTTGGACCCCTCTGAGTTTCCTGGCTGGAAAATGGACATGCCAGCCTTTCTGCTGAGTGTCCCTATAAATCAAAGATCATCTACTGACACTTCTATTTGCAGCCTTCAGAGAAAGAGCCTCCAATTTATAGGTGACATTCAGACTGAAATAGCAACGCCAGGAGCATGCTGTGTAATGGAGATCTGAGGAAGTGGTTCTGGACCAGCCAAGGGCTGTTAGCACCTTCCCCAGACATCCCGTCTCTCCCATCCTCCCTGCCCAGCTTCCCCCGCCTTTCTCCCTTGCTTCTCCACAAACGGGTCAAGCCCAAGTAAAGCTGTCCAGAGAGCACTAACGCAGATATACACACACATCCTGAAAGAAAAGCACTCCTGTACATAGCACTGATAGGAAGGCACATCTGCCTGCACAGCTGCTGCCACAAGCAGGGACCCAGGCAGTGCAAGTGGACTCCTTTGGGGTACATAAGGACCTCTGGAGCCTGAATTAACATGGGAATCGCATTACATGCCCTTGGGTGCCTGGGAATGAGTGATCCTGGCTGCAGCAGCAGCTCACTTCCAGCCTTAGGTCATCCTGGCTGAAGGCTCCCCATGTCCCCTCAAATGACTGTCCTGTGCCGGTAAGCCACCTCCCCTGGCTGAAAGCATCCCAGCTGGGAAGCTGGTGGTGCTGCTCCCAGCCACTGCAGGCACCACTGGGAGTCCTCTACCACCTCTTTCCACACCTCTCTGTCCCATGATCAATTATTCTCATCATGTTCTTCCTTGAGGTCTTCATACCCTCCACCTGTATTGCCCAGAAAAACTCAGGTGAGAGCACCACTTTGGTCTGGACCACATTGGATGCTGATGAAGGGGCAGGCATGGAGCAGTAAATGCTATGAGCCCAGCCACATCAGCTTGGGAAGGTCAGCTGGCCCTGTGTTAGCCCTTAATCTGAGTTTTGGATCATAACCCTGCTGCATGCAGGATGATGCCTTGCCATCAATGCAGGTGTAATGGTTTCTGAAGGCTGGACCGCTTTGAGGGGACCACAGCAGTTCCTGAAACTCTGGTCACCCCAGCTAATGCCTCGCCTTCCCAGGTAGGGAGCCTCTCGCTCTAAAACATAACAGCAGCTGATGCGCTGTGCTGAGATCTGGGACCCCCAGGTGTTTTGGACTTCCCAACTGCAGGCGGAGGTCAGTTGTCATAACTGGATTCTAGCTGGTGAAGGACTGTCTGGCCCCTCAAATTCATGTGTGTCAGTGAGGGAGCCCGCTGAAGGCAGTATTTCATCTGGACTGCACTAGTGTTTAGACATGTAAACAAGAGATTAATCACATAGCTGTTGCACCTCCTTTGGAGGTGGATGACAGTGACTAAGAATGTATTTTCAGAGCTGTCTAAAACCTCCTGTCAATTTGAGCAGGGCTGCTGCCAGGGCACCTGCAGTGCTTCCTAGGCCGTGGTAAGAGGGCAGGGAGCCATTTCTAATGGTTATCTGCCTGGTTTCTGCAGCAGATTTCGCTCACAAAACCCCAACAGTTTCCCTTGCTCTCTCCTTCACTTGACCTCCATCCCCAGCCTTTCCCGGTGCTGATGAATCTGTCTCGACACTAGCCTCTGAAAGCAGTACCTAATGAAGGGACCTGGTGCTGGTTTCCCCGACCTTTGCCTTGCTCTGGGCTTCTCCTCTCCTATGGGAGAGAAGTGGCAGGGGCTCCATCTTTGCCGTGAGGCTGGTTTCCATTTCCACCTCGCAGCGAGCCTGACCTTTGATGTCCGCCGGCTGTGTAAGCTCCTGGCAGCAGCAGGGCACAGCCCTGTTGCTTTTTGCCATGTGTATGTACACGAAGTGATGTGACAGGGCTGTGTTTTCTTTAATACCTTTGCATGGAGTAGGGGGAGTCCATCTGCCACTGATATTGCCATGGCTTTTAGCATTACTCTCGGAATTATGCAGAAACGCGCAGTGAATTAATTCCATGGATTAAGTCTTGATTAAGATGTGTGTCACTTTGCTGTCTCAGAATTTATTAAGAGCCCTTCTTGAGGTGGTGGCAGATGGAATTTCTGCCCAATGTTTGTAGATGATAATTTCCCCTCTTCTACAGCCATTTGCATATGATTGCATCTGTCAAGCACAATTTCCTCTCTTCTAGGGCTTGACTCTGTACTGGACCAGACTTAAGGAGGAATTCAGACTCCTGCCTTGCTGTAACTGAAGGACAGTGTCCTCCTGCACAGGGTCCTGTTTGTTTTGAGACTATTTTTGCACATTTTGCTTTGCTTTCATCTGTGCAAACTAGAACGAAGATGACAAAAATGGAGGGGAAGGGAGTATTTTACAGCTGATTCCAGAGGTGTAAATGACAACACAAGGTACAAGGCTTAGGAGAACTCAGTCCCAGTATTGAAAAATCATGCCCCATCCTGAACCACACCAGTGCAGTGGTTACGAGGTTGATCCAAGCCACTGGGCCCAACGTGGCATGCTTGGCCTGCCTCAGAGATGCACTAGGCCTCTAGATTAAAACTGGTTTTAAAGTGTGGCCCATATTCAACTTGAAACTGGGACTTGCGGTTCACAAGTTTGTTTTTTGAACTGCAGTTAAAACCAGGAGTATTTCAGAGAAGAGATTTTGTATGTATATATGTAATTGCATACATATTGCATGTGCTGTATGTGGTGGCATCAAGGAAGACCTTCTCAGCTCGTAGCGAGTAGGTCATGGAGAAGCAAAAGCAAAGGGAGAGGGGGATCTGCTCAGCACAGTTATGAAGGACTGTAGGAAAAGTCTGTGATTGGGACAGCACGTGAGCTCTGTACCAATGTATTTACCCAAAGGCAATCCCATGCTACAGATACAAAAGGCTGTAGGTATTATTCTAGGTTATACAGCCCTTTCAGATTTAATTAAAGGAGCTTTCCTCCACGTTGGCTGGGTCTCGCTGTAGGCAGAGACACTAAGAAAGTCAATGCTAAACCCTCATGGCATTTCTACTAAGTTATTTGCCTGGTCTCAGGGAGTTATGGAAACTGGCACCTCAAAAACATCTTTACACAAAATCAAATCTATCATCTCTATCTAAGTCTTCATCTCACTTTCTTTTATTGTAAAAAAAAAAAAAAAAAAAAATTATGGACAGCTCCTGTACTAGCAACATACAGCCAGACTACCTCACAGGTTTCAGTTTTGTAAAACTAGCCCTGGCTCCTAGCCTCCTCTGGCACCTGCAACTCCTTCCATCAATGTACATAATTGCTCCCAAGATAAAGGTTCCCAAATCTGTAACAAACACACCTTTTCTGCCAGTTGCTACCCCTGTGTGTCCTACCCTGGCTCTCGTGCGATGGTGCCAGCAGCCGCTTGCACAGGGTCCTCCCGCCGGCTGGGAAGCTGCCGTCCCTGCCCCACAGGAATGGTGCAGGGCAGGAGGAAAACAGCGGCTCTGGCTCTAGGCTTTTTCTCCTTTCAAATTCACCCCTTTTCTATTTCTGCGTCATTGCCAGGCTGTCCAAGCCAGAGCCACGGGGGCAGAAGGAGGAAGGCCCTTCTACACGAGAAGGGCAGCCTTGTTTACCCAAAAAGAGCAAGCGACGGTTCCCGTGACCTCTCTACAGGTTCTCGGTAACACGCTGCTCCATCACTTTGGAGCAAAGATGCCTTTGCTTGTTTTTTTTTTGAGAAGCGGGAATGAAACATAAAGGCTGACTGCAAGCCAAGTAAGGCTAATTATAGTGGTGGCTTTTGTGATGTGGATGTTGCTCACTGAGAGCTGCCTTCAGATTTACAAGTGCACGCTGCTCAACTCCCTGTGCTACCAACGGGGAGCAGGCTACCTGCCGAAACTGCTTCGGCAGGTTGGTCCGAAGAGGAAAAGCTGTCTCTTGGGTTGTTTTGATGTTACTTGGCTTCCCATGGGTATGCAGGGGTGCTTCAGCAAGGACCCAATACTTGAGGTCCCTAGGCAGCAGCACATAGACCGCTGGTCACCCACAGGTTGGAGGGAAACCCAGCTGGCCAGGCTCCCTCCAGCAGATCGGCACAGCCCCACGGACCTGTGAGCTTCCCCCACTGCCTGCGGCTCCCGCCAGGGCCATGGTAGCTGCAGCCTCTGCTTGGGATTGCTGATCCCCACAAAGTGTTCAGAGTTACCCCTCAGGCTGAAAGGTGCTCTGCAATCCGTTAGGGGTGGCAGTGTCTCTTCTTTCTTCCATCCCCTGAGGTGAAGGTATGATGTTACACTAGATGTCTTGGGGTCAGAGCTGCCTCTTCCTGCTCCATCAGTCCCAGAAGTTAAACTGCTGGGAGCAACTAGATTCCTGATGGAGTCTGGCTGATTGCTTCAGTCCTCTCACGCTCGCATTCCCTGTGTGCTGGCTTACTTTTAGCAAAGATAAACATTTGGGACTCTATTTAACTGCACATTTTCAGGAAGATGATCTGCCTCTCTACTTTGGTCCCCAGGAGGGGCTGAGCTAAGGCGGAGCAGCCCCTGCATCTTCCTCTGCCCCACATCAAAGGGGAAGGGGCTGAGGCTGTACCTGTCCCCTCCTGGAAGAGCATTTTGTTCTCTGGATACATGCATTTATTCAGGGGATGGTGCTGCCAGAGTGCCTGCGGGCTGGGATTTCAAGTACCACAGCCTGCACAGCACACGAATCGCGCAGTGACCTGAGAACCAGGCTCTATTTGCCGGCCAACATGAGTGCTGCCTGAGAAGGGCTCTTTACTGAGAAGGCCTCTTCCCCTGCAGCTAGAAAGCAAAAGGATGGGATGCAAGACAAGAGTTAATCTTTGTTTCCTCAAGACTATAGAAATACAACTATGGGGAGACCTGGGTCACCCA